TGCTGTGAGTTTGTGACCTGGGCCTGTAAAGGTGGGGAGCTGAGGAAGGAATCGCTGTCTAGTCTTCCTGCCACCCACTCATCAGCCAAAGGAGAAGGCGCCGCCCCCTGCCGCAGGAGGAAGGGCACCCTGAGCTGTTGGGCTGGGCCTCTTTTGGCCTCGGGGGGGTCAACATGGCTTCTGCATTTCTGGGTCCAAAAAAAGGCCCAAGTTGCCCCTGGTGAGAGAACTCCAGCCGGGCTTCCTTACAGGAGGTTTGGGAGCTGAGACAACCGGGCAGGACTTCGCCGGGAGCCCCGACGGCGGCCTCCCCCGCCTCCCTGTGCACTTGCGTCTGTCCTGGAGGCCCTCTCGGGCCCAGACAAGTCTGAAACAGAGAACAAAGGCGGCACATAGCTTTCTCTTAAGTTCAGGTCGTGAGAGAGCAGGGTTAGGACAGAGAGATTTAGAAACTACGGAAATATTTCTCACTCTCTGCTCCCTGCCCCCACGGCACCCAAGGCCTTTGGGAAGAGGGAGAATTTGGAAGCAAAAGGCGTGTGACGAGCCTGGGGGGTGGTTTCTGTTCCCGCTCAGGCTGAGCCCTGGCTGGCGTGGCCCTGCTGCCGAGTTCGGGGAGCCCGTCCCGTCAGCCTGGGAGCAGGGCAGCGCTCGCCTCCTCGGGCCTCCTGGGGTTCAGGGGTTGGCGTTACGCGGCTAAGGGAGGCCTCTCACAGGTCTTGGTGAGCGCTAGCTAGTTCGGCGCTATGTTTGATTTGATTTAGAAAAGAAACAAGAGCAGATTTCTTGTCCTTGCAGGGCTGTGGAGCAGTGTGTCTTTGTTTCAGGTGGAAGTGGCCTCGCCTAGGCGAAGCCTGCCCACCCCCGTCGGGGAGGCGCTGTGCAGTCCTGTTAACGCGCACCCAGTAATGCGACGTTCCAGGGGCGTCGAACAATGGAAGAGGGTGCTGTCTCGACCTTCTCCGAGGGTTATTTTTCTAGGGATAATTATATTTACTCTTTAAAAAAATACACACCAAATAAATCTAAAGAATGCTTCACTTTACAATCGGTAGTCACTTTATTTCTTGTGATACTATATGCCTAATGTAATAAAGCCCAATCCAGAGATTTTTTTTCAATCAGGATCAACAACACTTTTACTTAAGAAAAAAAGAAAACTTTATTGTGGAATCACTACTACATATAGCTGTGCTTTCACATCAAGTTGGTTTAGTTTTTTGATGTATTAATGCCTAAAATTGTACAGATCACAGGGCAAGAGAACTTGTCTAACAAATTCAATAAAAGATATTTCAGAGCTATGCTGTCGTTTTCTATAGTAATTTTAGAGACTAGAGCAAGAATGGAAAGTGTTAGAGTTGGAGAAACCTTAGGTCACACAGCAAATAAGCAGCAGGGTCGGGATTACAACACAGGCCTTCTAATTCCCAGGCCCACTCCACCACTTCTCTGGTCAAATTTTATGCCATTTCATTGAGTTAGATCTCTGGATTCACAAACAACTGCTCTTTCCACAGCAAATTCCAAAGCCAAATCATCTTGATAATAATCTCAGCTGAACTATAATCATTGTCACCCAAATTGGGATTATTTCAGCCCTGATCATTTGGTTTCTTAATCAGAATCATAGCATTTCAGAGATGGCTAGTTCACAGTGCTCTCAAGTTATGTTTTTTATAAAGCTTCAGCTAACCTGGAAGCCAAAGACATTTTTAAAAAGCCAATTTTGTTGGACACTGTGGGCTGAGTCCACTCTGAGGAATACCTTTCAGATCTTCAACGTGTAATCTGAAAATCGTCGATGTAATTTAACTGCCTTTTTGTAGAGATGGAAAATCAGGCCAGCCAAGAAACAGGGTGGGGCTCAGGACACGCGTTTCCTGCCTCCTGGGCTGCCACACGTCACTATTTTACTCCATCTCTCTCATTTTTCTGTTTAGATCTTCCACCAGAGGGTGAGCAGAGAATTATTCAAACCACTCTCTCTCCTACTTGATCAGCGCAGTTGCAGTTCAAAGGTTTGGTAGGGAAAATGTGGAAATTCATAAGAGAAGAGATCATCTTGGGGGTGTTTGTCCCCCCTCCTTTTTTTGTTAATCTTCACCCAAGGGAGGGAGAGAGAAACAGCGACGTGAGAGATACATCGATTGGTTGCCTCTCTCAGGAGCGGGTGGGGGGAGGGAACCCGCAATCCAAGCAGGTGCCCTTGACTAGTAATCAAACCCACAACCCTTCGGTGTGCTCTAACCACTGCGCCACCCACTAGGGCTGTTCTCCCTCTTACATGTGGCTGAGGGCAATCACTAGCTCCTAGCCCTTCCCTCCCCAGCCTCACTTCCTCTTTCAAGTAAGTTTTCATGCACATTTGCCTTAAATAAGGCCAGCATCAGAAGACCTAGAGCTATAAGACCCCAACTAGTCTTTTAATGTAGTATTCCTGGGTCTAGCACAGCAAGAAAATGTAACCTAATCAACAGTGCTGTTTGGAGGGTGGTTTATGTGACCTCCGTTACAGGGGACATCAGGGAAACCAACTAGTACCTGAGCCTAAGCTCGGGGACCAGGTCCGTCCCTTAGAGTGGGATGCACTTGGCCGACCATGATGGCACTGGCCACTCAGAAAGTTCAAGTATTTCCCCTTGCTCAGATTTCACAAGCCGATGTCAAACTTCTGACTGTAATTTGACTTTTAAAGTATGTAGATCATTTCCGTTCTCTTTGTTAGTAAGTGTGACATGGCATTCTGGGCTCCACAGTAGCCTCTCTGGAGATGGCAGTGGGAGGCCATCAGAGACACTGCTCCAGAACCCAGAAACTACTCCTTTTAAAGCTAAAAATGTTACAGTTAATGGACTTAGCAGGCTTAGGTTCACATTGGGGACATGATCCACACAGAAAAAGTGACATGTTTGCATGTTTTATTTACAACAAAGTTTCAAAATTATTTGCGATAAAGGACATGCCAGTTTCATTCTCCTTCCTGCTTGCAGTGACCTGAAGACCAGGCCCTGACAAACTCAGGTCAGAAGCTGGTAACCAGCTCACTGGTACCCAGAGTCATCTCTGGATTTACCAGAGTAATTCAGGGAGTTGCCCGGTTGTGTGTGCACTTGGGAGGGAACCAGCAGTCTTGATGGAGAGCAACCAAAAACCCAGTGACCACAGAGAGAGGATACGGTGGCTGAGAAAGGGGAAACTCACAAACTATTATTAAAGATTGAGGGCAATCTTCCAGCCCTTGGCCACAATCAATCTTTTCTAGAACTGGGGGTAGGGAAAAAGATGGATGAAAGAGCGTGGTCTTTTCCAAAGGTGACTCCCAAGGAGCCAAGCTGGCTTTATATTCCATTAAACCAGCATCTTAGGAGACCCTGGTCTCTGCCAGAAAGCTACTGTGAAGTTCACTCTTCTCTGTGCCCTACTGCATCTGGGGCTAGGAGGTGTGCATCCTTAAGACCCTGCTTGGCTTAGCAGAGAGGCACAGAGCTAGGCCCAGCAAAGACAAAGAGGGGAGGTCTAGGGCCAAGCTTTAGAAAGGACTCTAGGGGTGTGTGTGGGGGGGGGGGCTGTTTTGCATCCCTTTGGCAAGGGTACTTGGGAGGGAAACTAGGATGGAAAAAAAAAGACTAGTTCTGCATTGTGAAGGACTCCTATATCAAATAAGATCCAGCCTCTGTGATTACCTACTTTTTCTCTGCAGCCTATTTTTTTTTTTAAATCTTCACCCGAGGATATTTTTCCCATTGCTTTCCAGTGAGAGTGGGAGAGAGACGGAGAGAGAAACATCCATGGGAGAGACACATCGACCGGTTGCCTCCCGCATGAGCCCCGACCGGGGTCGGGGATGGAGCCTGCATCCGAGGTACGTGCCCTCGGCCAGGAGCCTCAGTCCGTGGCCCGACAGTCTACCCTCTGAGCCAAATGGGCCAGGGCTTAGAGGAACAAGCCGGGCAGTGTGGCTGCTGTGGGGAGAGCCCGGGGCTGAGGCCGGAAAGTGGGGATAAGACCTCTCACAGGGAAGCCTCTTCCCGCGGGGCTGCGCCCTCCTTCCCCGCTGGCCTGCTAGGCAGCAGGGGAGGGGGCTGTTCCCCAGCATCACACTGTCCGAAAGAGGCTTGGGGAGCTGGCAGAGTCCTCCCGTTTGCTTTAGAAGACAGCAGAAAGCTCCATTGTCCACTGGATGAGAGCTGTAGGAAGGAGGCCTGAGTTCTGAGATATGAAACCTCAGAACCTAAAGGCCTGCCAGAAGGCTGTTTTGACCTGAAATTGGGGCCTGATATCAGTCATGCTAGAGACTCAATGAATGGGACAATTAAAAAAAACCAACTTCGCCTGCCCAGCTGGAGTGGCTCAGCGGTTGAGCATCGACCTAGGATCAGGGTTCGATTTCCGGTCAAGGCACATGCCCGGGTTGCGGGCTCCATCCCCAGTCGGGGGCGTGCAGGAGGCAGCCCATCAGTGACTCTCCCATCATTGATGTTTCTCTCTCTCTCTCCCTCTCCCTTCCTCTCTCTGAAATCAATAAAGACATATTAAAAACAAAAACACTTCAGGAAGGTGGGGGCTGGAGAGCTCCAGAGGGGAGGTAGGGAAAAGTGCTAATATAAGGAGAATAAATTTTCCCCAAAGAAATTTCATTTTAAAAAATAAATAAAGCAGAGAAAAGAAAGAAAAGGACTGCCAAGCCCACCTCTTTCTTAATCCTTCCAAAGTCATCTCTTTCCAAAGCTCCAGCCTCCCGGTTCCCTGGCCGTGGATTCTAAGCAGGGGGCAGAGCAAAGCCCGTACTACAAGGGAAAGAAACTGGCAACCAGGCCACGCACCACCAAGGGCGATGCCGGCAGAGGTCAGGGGCCACTAATAAGCCGAGTCCTGGGCTTGCCAGCGGGGGTGGGGGGTGGGGTGTTCCTCAACATGACTATGACGTCCTTTCTCAACTTCGTTCCACAGCCAGCCAGTGACATTATCCCAAAGTGCAGACACATTGAGGACAGCGGTTACAGGTGGGCACGGGCTTTATTCTCAGTGCACAGCAGTACTGATCTCTGCTCATCAGCAACATTTCATTGGTTCCAAAGCAATTCTCCCTTTTTCCCATCTTTAAAAAAAAAATTCCTCTTCTGTTCTTCCTGCCTCAGTGGAACAACATCTTCCAATTTCAGATTTGCCAGTTTATAGCATTTTTTTCTAAGAACCATATAAATACATGCAAAACATTGTACAGAGAGCTTAAATAATATCAAAATGCAAATACAGGCTGGGTGCACCGTTAAGCCGAACTGCAAATTATGGCAACACACACTGGGGTACGCATTGCTTTGCTATCACCATTTGCTTATTGATGTCATGCGGACCACAATGGCCTAGCTTTTGTTTTGTTTTTATTTTTATACAAAAAAAAAACCAGTGCTTGCTATACTAGTTACAGGAAAAAAAAAAAAAGAAACTCAAAATTCCTATCTGTGTGCTGATTTGAAAAGAACCAAGTAGTTAGATTTGTTGGCACATATATATGCATATTCACATATGGCATACATACACATGGGGAGAAAACATGAGCCAACAGCCAGTCACGGGGAGCTCACCTCCCTCCATCTCTCTTAATCAAGAGGAAAGGGGACAGCAGGCCTAACAGCAGGGCTGGGAAGGCAAAAAAGACTGGCACTGAGCTAAATGGAGGGCGTCTGGTCTACTTGAGGGAGGGGCTGGAATGGCTTAATAGCAGGCATTTAGAAATGCCTCACCCCCACCACGGCAGTGGGGTGGTCCCTTGTGAAAGTGAGGAAGTGTGCACTTTGTGAGGGCATCATGGGCTGCTTCAGGCGATGGGCAAAGAAGCAGGAAAGAAAGGAAGCTCTGCGTTTGGGGTTTCAGGGCACGTGTGAACTTGCCACGCCCCTTTGGGTTTGGGGCAGTGAGGTAATCACTCAGGTTTAAGTGCAAACGCTCCCCTCTGAAGCCCAAGGGGAAAAAGAAACCCAAACCTAAAGAACCCACAAGTGCCAGAGGGATTTCTAGGTAGGCTCTCTATAACTTGTAGGGATGTGAGTCATTTCAGAGGTCAGAGGGCACCTACAGGAGGGCTCTAGCCCCAAGACTGTCAGGCAGGGCTAGACCCAGCCTTCGTTTTTTCCACTTAGAGCTCTATACCCCACCTTATCTACTGCATGAAACCATTCTAGGGAAGGGGAAGAGGTCCCAACTCAGATCCTTGCAGAAAAACTCACTAATGGAAAACTCCAGGGACAACAGGGGGTAAAAGAACCTCCTGTTGGAGGTAAAAACGCAAACCCCAAATCAGAGTATCCTTGCGGCCCAACAGATGTTCATGTCTTGGGTACCACTCTGCCAGCTATTCACCAAGAAACAAAATCCAACCAAGGCCCCTGACGCTCATCACTAAGCTACGAGAGAGCCTGGCACCCATCTCCGCGGGGCCCACCTGCATTTGCTGCTGGCTCTCCTTTCTGGCTGGATGCTTTCCTCCCCATCCAGTCTACTGCCCATTTTTCTAGGCTTCTCAGGAGAGTAATAATCTAGGACAATATTTCCCCTTCTCCCCATCAGACCCTTTTCAAATCCGAAGCACCATTTTGGGGAAAAGCTGTATTAACTTATGCCATATTTACTCACTGCCAGTTGGATCACTGAAACTGAATAGAAAAAACTTATATATAAAAAACATAGGCACATAAACACTTAAACTTACTCAATTCCATATCAACAAAATTTATATTAAAAAAGTCTAGAACCCAACAAATTTTTCCCCCTAAGTATAAAGATGGCTGTTTGGAGAAAGGAATTATGCTGCATTGGTTTTAAAACCAATTACAAATATGCTAAGTCACCTGTCATGTTAAACAGCTGGTTATGTGCTCCCTCCACAGGGTTACATGACAGCACTTTATTTTAAATCCTTTAAATGAAATACATATGGCTGACTCAAAAAATACCAGTTTCTGATCTAAAGAAAACTATTTATTTTTTTGCATAATATTTCTATATTTTTCTCTCCTACTGTGGAAACTAGAACACACAAAAAACCGTTGACTTTAAAAGTAGACACAAGCTCTCAGGAGTAACCTGTCCGGCACCATGAGAGTCTGTTTGGAGCAGGAATGGTAAAATAGCCTCCAAAGTTTGTTATTGGCTTGTTTTTGAAACTGATCTGAGGTAATAAAAGACTTGACAGAACGAAATCTTCCAATGTACTTAATAAATATACATGTGAACACCTAACGCCTTGCGCGAGCTGTTTTTCCTCCCTCATGTTCCAGACAGAGAAAAGATCACTGACGCGTGTCACCTTTACAAAACCCAAATCCAATTTGGTAAATTCTGTAGTGACGGGGATGTGTAGGGAGTATTGTTTCTTTACTCTTCCTACCTTGGTCAGCTCAGGTGAAAGCGCGAGAGAGGCGGCATCCAGAAGAAATGGCTGGAGAAGTCGGGTGCGGGCGCCCTTACTCTCCCAAAGGGACGTGTGGCAGTTCACAAAGCGCCTCGAGCCCCTTCCCCTGCTCCCCTCGCTCTGCAGAGAGGGGGCAGCTTCCCCATCTACCCCGCGGGAGGAGGGAACTGGCAGACACGAGAGAACCCCTGCACAGGGATAGAAATGGAGCTGCTGCAAATGTGGCTCCACCTTGTCCCATTAAGGAACACTTGAAAAACCTCCTAGTGAGTCCCCATCCTGAGAGGCAGGCGAGAGGGATGCTGTGGGCAGTGTCCAGGGAAAGAAGGCACAGGGCTTTTCTGTGCAGCAGGTGAGCTCGTTCTGGAGAGGGGCTCGAGTGGGGCATGTGAGAAGGGAAGGCAGGATGGAGGAGAGCTTTTCAGGGTGGGTCTTTTGCTCCTTTAAGTAAGCAAAATGTCACTGGAGCTTCCCACTTTGGATATATATTTTCAAAATCAGAGTATTTGAGAAAGGTTGGGAACTTTTCAGAGACTGGACAAGTTAGGGAACACAGCAAAGAGTAGAGTTAGACAACTGAAGCGAATATCAAAGCTGGTACCCAGGCACCTAAGCTCAAGGTTTCAGGTTTCTCAGATCCTGTTAGAATGGCCCTTTGGCATCTCCAAGGCTTCTCAACACTCACTTCCCCAACAATCAGGTCCTTCCCTGGAAGAGCCTTGGTAGATGGTTTTGAAAGCAGTAGTGGTCACCTCAAGGACTCTACAAGAGTTGGCTTTGATGGTTTATCTTGTCCTAGACCAGCCAACTTCTGGGCCTCAATATCCAAGTTCAGTTAAGAGGCAGGGTCTTTCTCAATAGATTCATTTGCCACCACTTTAGAAAGAAGAGAAATCTCAGGATTACGGTAAAAACTACATACCACACATATGCAAGCTTCACGGTCAAGGCTGATCTCCCTAGTACTTAGAAACCACACATACCTGACAAGTTTAGAATTAGATAACCTAACACATTCTTACTAGCTCTCAATTGCTTCAAAAGACCCCATTAGCAAAGAAAGCCTGTCTGCCTCTAGAACTAAATCAATGGTTCCGTAAGGTCCAGAAGGGGGAATGGCCAAAGTTGACTCAATTCATCCAGGTCCTTTCCACTTTCTTAGTCGTCACAACTTAAAAAAAAAAAAAAAAGTGAAGGTAAGGAAGACAATACTCAAGAGAGTGTGGTGAAGTTTGACTGGAAGGGTACAAAGAGCTAGAGGGCTTTAGGTGTAAGTTTTCAAGATGGGAAAACAATTTTAAAAACAATCACCCTATTGGCTAATTCCATACATTCCATTCCTGCTTCCCACACATTTCATTTGAGAATATTTGTCTCTCTGAACCCTTAAGTGAAGTTTTACATGGCACAGACTCGTAGGGTAAAATCCAGAAGTCAGGAGATGGCAACATCTGTATGAATACTGGGGGAGAATTTGGGTTGGGGTGAATGCCAAGAGGATCATATCATTTCTTTAAAAATGACAACTGATATACCCAAGGAGTAGATTCTACTCTTTGCTACCTGCCTGGGGCTTGACTGGGCCCTGCTACAAACCCCAACTCAAGTTTAAGTTGAAATTCTTGTAGGTCTGTTCTTTGCCTCTTCATGGTCAGGTGGGGCTCACGCATACTTGGGAGCAGCTGGCACGACAGTGAAAAGTCCCATCATCACCTTATAGATGGGAGAGATGAGTAGGAAATAGGGAAAGCACGGATGGGAGTCAGAATGAAGTTCAAACGGATGTCTCCAGGCTGTGTGGAGGGCTGTCCGAAGGGGAGGCAACAATATGCACCTGGTTGCAATCCACCATCACAGAGCTGTTTCTGTCGGAGCATGGAGTGACCTCACCATCCAACAGGAGCACCCTAGTCCCAGACTTAGAAACCTTTTCAAGATTTTCCTCCTCTTGCTCATCCAGGAGTGGTGTTCGTGGCACCTCCTCATCTATGGCGAATTCAGGGTGGGTCATGAAGTTGTGGATGGAGTTTTGGTTCTTGGGTTTCTGGATGCTTTCATGGAGGGAACTATGGAATGCTTTGACCACTTTGATCTATACCAGGGGGAGGAAGAGAGGGGTGAGAAAATACAGGTATGAGAATTGGCCAGTAGGACAAGAAACTGGTGGTTTGAGGAGAAACAAAACCCAAACTACAAAATGTTATTGATCAACAACAACAACCATACATAAAAGAAGAGATCATGGAACACTAAAAACATTTACGTGGCTCAAATTTCAAGCATTGGGGTGGGGTGAGGTGAGTAATGGCAAACAACTGGGATGTTTCAAAAGCTGCATTGAAAAGATAGAAAACCCAAAGCAAAGTTAGCATTCCCAAACAATCCACTCTTAAAATGAAACAGGAGACAAAAAGATTCATTAGTTCTTTTGAACAGAGGTCACAAGGATTGGAACTAGGTGCAAATTCATAGCCAAATTTAAAAGATGATTCAGACATGTGGATTTCTGTGTTGAGGCCCAACATTTTGTGAATGTGGAATAAAAAAATTACACATCGAGGTTTAGTTATCTGTTTAAAACCCTCCAAGAGCCAAACACGTACCAATCTGTACACAATACACTTCGGGCGATGAGTGACTATGGATACAATGCAGCAAGGCAGACAAACCAATCTCCGTTTGTGTCAGCAGCATGCAAGGAATTAAAACTTATACTTTTCAATGAAATAACTGCTTTCATTGGCAAACACACACATACTTATATCCCGCAACCTCCACCCTGTCCCCTTCCTTCCGTCCCTCCCCTGGGAGATGTAGATGAAACACGGGTATCGAAGGTATCAAAAGCCGCCTTCCCCCTGACTACAGAGAAGGCCTGGCTCTCACACTTGGACGCCCTCTATGCCTCTGATACATGGCAACTCTGCCCAGCCTCGCAGCTTTTTCCAGAAAGAGAAGCATGATCTTATGTGGAGCAGGGAAAGGAGGGGCCTGGCTGGGCGCAATCCAGGGGGCAGTGCTACAAACAAGTGGCTTGTCCAACGGGGTGGATGAAGAAGACGAAGGGGGAAGAACCATGTGTAGTTTTACTGGGCAGGGAAAGGGATCCAGTCAATTTAGAAAAATGAAAAAAATTGACCATAATTAATCTCTGTGACCAGCCTGTGCCTTACCCATCGGGACTTGCTTTGGCAGTCTGCTTTTCTGAACTGCAGGTCTCTCTAAGGGACAATTTAGAACCTGGTTTAGTAGGACTGGGGTCAGGGGAGAAAGTTGGATCCCGACAGGTTGGAGACAGAGGCCAGGGGGAAAGAAAGCAATTGTACGATTTTTGTTGTTGGGAGCTGGCTGATCCTAGTCTTGTTAAAAAATTCTTTTCCTTGGAAAAGAAATGGGAGTAACACAGGAAAAACTGTTGAAGTGGGGAGGGGGATAGGGAGGAATGGTGAGTGTTGGGTTGGTGCACCTCTTTCATTCCTCTGCTGTTTAACCAAAGAGTATGTCCCTGGAGAAGAGGTAAGAACATGGAGACAGCAGAGCATACAGAGAGTCAGGCGAATAGTCTGGTTGGATTGCCCAGTCCTTCCTATCACTGTAGAGAGCCTTCAAAAATAATGTGCAGAGAAGGCTCACTAAAGTTGTGTCTGCTGGCGAGGCTGTCCTTATCTTTCCTTAGTTTGTGACAGCCTGGCAGACCCACCAGGACTGAGAGTGCTCAGAGCTTAGAGGGCAAAGGATGCTTTGCCACTCAACAGAATCAGTTCAACACCTCAGCCAAGCAAAACCAAGGAACCAGGACACACATTCACCATGCTGAACAGAAAGTAGAGACCTACTTTTCCCTCCTTCTGTGATTCCTATTAACCATCTGATGCGTGAATTGTACCTTTCATGTTCTCTGATCCAGATCTAGGGGAGATTCGATGGAATAGTTTCCATCTGGTCTTTGGGAGGTCCCAAGTTTTAACTGATCTACATCAAACTTCGAGCAGGGTAACTTGGTTTAAGTAAACCTAAACCCAATGCTTTCTCCCTTGGCCCTGGTCAAGAGATATGGGTTCAAAGCCATTACACAACCCCCCCACCCCAGCAGGAGTGATCCCATAGCCCATAATGTTCACCTGCTCTTGCGATCTCAAAATTTCTAATAAGTGCTGCAGGTGAGCAGAGGTACCTTTAAACCAGCAGCTGATCATCTTCGATATCAGTGATTTTCAAAATTCCTGCTTCTATTGTTTTAAGCATTGAGTACATTATAAAAATAACTATATGTGAAGTCTAATATAGAAAACAGATTTTTAAAAACTGGGGTTGTAGTGAGGCTGTGGAGCCCAATATGCTGGCTTTTCCTCTCACCTGTTGGGGTGATCATAACACTATTACAGGTAAACAATAAGGGAGATAAAAATGAATTGGGGGTGGGTAGATGAAAAAAATAGGGACATTTTCTTCTTTGGGGGAGCAAGGAACAGCCATCTGGCTAGACTGCAGGACTTCTGGAATCTAGAGGGAAACCAGTCACCTGCAAGGGAAGCTCAAGTGAAGTGGAGTCAGAAAGCTAGGGAGTAGCATCTGGAGGCCTGGTGGGTGGAGAAAAGGGTGACTAGGTAGAGGGCATAGGGCTGTGCCAGAATGCTCCTCAAGTCCAACACTGGCCTCAGAGAGTACATAACACATGCCGATGAACAATCACAAAGACACACCATCACCAATTCACCCCAGGTCTCGTCCCTGCCAATGCATGCTGGCGGGTGCATGAGCGGTGTACGGGAAACAAGACAGCTCGTGAGGCAAGTGCTGTGAAAGCTTTAGGCTCTCTCCACTCAGCAAATCAGCCCTTCCTCGTGACTCAGGAGCCCCAACTGGCTAGACCTTAATGCTAAGGGCCACTCTCTGTAGCTCAATGAACTGACAGATAAGACTCCATTTCCTCAGCTGGTTTTCTGTAGTTTTCTGCTCGCTTTTCAGAAACCAGGGGAGGAGAAGAGATTAGGGCCTTCCTATAGAGGGAAATCTTAGGGATTTATCTACTGAAGGTTAGATAAATAACTGAATTCATTTGGAGATCTGAAATGGGAAAGGGGAGTTTAAAATGCATGACTATAACTTCTAGGACTTCCAAGGAAAGAGGGCACTGGAGAAAGAGCAAGTATGGCCTGTCTCTCCTGACTGATTTTCTAGTCTTTGATGGTTCGCAGCCTACCCTTTACCAGCAATTCTACAAGAGCCCAATGGGCTCTGTCTTCTGCTTAGCTCTTTCTACCTTCAAATCGCTAGGATATCTGATACTAACCCTTCCTAGCATAAAGGTATGATTAAAAAACACAAAAATTAGTTCAAAGGACATGGCAAAACTAGAAGAAAATGGAAATAAGAGAGGAATATGGAAGGATTAGAGTGAGAGGCTCTTGGGTATTTGCAGGGTAAGACTTATTTAGTTCTTTGACTGCCTTTGGGCCTAAAGAAATATGTGTTTATATGAAATTCCACCCCTCCCTGCCAATACCTCACATGAGAACACCTATAGTTGGTTAAAAAGACAACACATAATCTGCCCTGGCCAGGTGGCTCAGTTGGCTGGAGCGGTGTCCTGTTCACCAAAAGGCTGCGGTCCAATTCCAAGTCAGGGCATATACCTGGGTTGTGGGTTTGATCCCCAGTTGGGGTGTGTACAGGAGGCAACTGATCGACGTTTCTCTCTCACATTGATGTTTCTCTTATTTTTTTCTCTCTCTCTCTCCCCCTTCCTCTCTCTCTAAAATCAATAAACATATCCTAGGGTAGGAGGAATGGAGAGAAACACTCGTCTCTGAAGCTCACAATATACTTAATAGAGAGATTCCTTTCCTACCAAATGCTGTAAGAGCACCATCAGCAAACAGACTTCTCTCTCCTCTCCTCTCTGTATCCCACTGGGAAAGGTAAAATGACTAGGGATAGGAAGGCATGAGCATTAGCAAGAATCCAATAATCGACCAATGGGAACACCACTGGTTGAGCCCAGATCGCATTTCAATGGACAGGCTGGCTAAGGGAGGGGTTCCTAAAGCTTTATGAGCAAAATGCGACATGAAGGGCTCACTATAGGCGAGGCAATAGTTTTCAAACTTCCTGCTTCTATTTTCTATTCTATTCCTAGAAGCAAGCAAAAAAAAAGGTTGCTCTTCAGAAATTCCTAAATATATAAACAAATAAATAAATAAGACCTTTAACAGGTGAAGAAAAATAAGTTATTTTGACCTTTTCATATCTTTAGCCTACCCAGATGTGAACTAATTGACTCTTAAACCAGAATTTGGTTTCACGTCCCTGAAAAATAAAACAGTGCTGCTCAGCCCTGTTCATTTGAATTGAACACTTTCCTCTCTTCACATTCAGCTGTAGCTTTTACTCCAATACTGCCAGCTAACAATGAGTGGTCACCAAAAGGACCATTATTAGTGGCAGAGTTCAATACTGTCTCAATTATGACAGGTCTCCTGGTAAGAAACACCCATGGGAACACTAGCTCCTTCCTAGCTTCCTTAGGAGGTCTCAAACTTGCCCCCAACTGCAGGGAGGTCCTGGGCTTTCATCCGGCCGGACCTCACATCTAGCCTAAGGGGGGAGAGTTTAGACTTGAAGGAGCGGGAGAGGAGAGGAGAGGAGCAGCAACTTATCTGATCAAAGCGAAAACAAAAAAACTCAAGGAAGAAACAAGCAATGCAGAGGAACAATCAGAAAACAGGACTATTGTCTTTAAAATGATCATGGTTTAATAGCTTTGCAACATTATAAATATATAAATAAGTAAATAAATAAGTAAATAAATAAATAAAGGGCACACAGCCTGGTTTGGGGGTGGGCTTTGGGTCCCATTTTTCTTCCCTTAAGTCAAAGGTCAAAGGGACAACCAAAAGGAAAAGATAACCACGGTTGGTTAAAGTGATGCCACGTGCTCTCTTGTGGTCATTTCAGCAAATCATGCATCATAATAGACTATCACTCACTGCCCAGAGTAGGAGATGAAACAGCAGCAGCAACAGAAGTGGTGGGGGAAGATTTGACTGGTACAACTGTTACATAGGATGACCTAGGAACATGTTTTACATCAAGGTGTTGACCCATGGTCGGTCGCTTTAGGACTCCCTTAAAAGAGGCTCCCGTCTGGAATGTGTTAATTACGTCGATCTGCAAAGAATCAGAGAGTGAAACAGCTTTGCTCCACAGTCAGAGAGGAGGAGGAGGCGAAGGGGCGCGTCGGAGGGCTGGGGGGGCACGGAAGGAGCTGGGGACGGGGCAGGAGGTGGAAAGCCAGAGGTTCCCTCACACACAAGGCAGTGGTGGGGGGCAGGGGAAATGCGCCCATGGCACATCACACTTCATTTAAGGAACAGTTTGCATGGAGTCCGAATACCCAGCCAGAATCCAGTCTGCTCTCCCCTTTTAGCCCGTGAAGGTCATTTTAGGCGAGCTGGTGTCCAAAAGTGTCTAACATTTAAAGGGACATCCACACTCTATGATGCCTCACAGATAGTGACGGCTTATTCACTGTTTTCACCTGTACTCTTAAAAAATAAGGCATGCAATTTACGATAGAAGAAAAAGTATCTATTACTGAATTTGGAGGCTCAGGAACCTCTAAACCAATTAAATCAACTACCTATTTTTACAGATTTTCCAGGAAAATAACTCATGTGTTTAAAGAAAAAACAGAGGCATGGAGTAGCCCATACACAGGTGACCACAGTGGGAAGGTTCCTGAACCATGAGTTGCTGGGCTCACCCTCTTCTGGGTTTCTTCTCTGAGACCTTGGTCTGAGGTGGACAGGGACCGAGGATGGAGCTCAGAAATCCAATGCCAGGCTCTTTAGAGAGAATGCCACTAGCTGCATCAATGAATTGGAGATCCAGAAATGTCTGGCAGAAAAGCCGACAATAACTGAGCAGCTAGACTGCAGGAGGGAGGGGCAGAAAGAGCTGTTGCTAGGTGGGTGGTGAGCAGCTTCAAGTCTAGGCCTAGACAGTGGTTTCTGGTCTCCAGGGCCTTGCTCCTCTGAGACAGAAGCAATTCATGCCATTTATTTTTCCAACAATGGTCTGGGTGTGGGGCCTTGGCCAAACCTACCATCCTTACCCTGACCCTTAAGTAACAAGGGACAAATCGAAAGGAATTCCTTTATCCTTCAGAATCTGTTAGAATCACCTTTACAAAGCCCACATGCTTCCTACTGGTGGGCAGTCTCCCAGGAATGCTGGAAGGGTGCTGACTCCACCCATCTGACTGCATTTCCCCAGGAGAGAAGTGGGAAAGCAAGCACCTTGTGAGGCAGTTATTCTTACTTATAAAGCTCCCTGAGAGGCCCTGAAATGTTGAGGGCTAGTTTCTGGACTCTGAGCTAGAACACCACCCCTTCATCAGTTTTCAGTTCCAGGGGACAGAGGAGCCTGATCCTGTGGGAGGAGGGTCTGCATGTAGGGAGGGTCCAGCCCCATGCAAGAAGAGGCCGTAGAGACATCTTCCTCAGCGCTTATTAGGGTTATAAGGGCTCATCTTCCTGTACCTTCCCAAGACTGAAGCCCTTGTTTCTCAAAGTTCTGCTTTCTAGTGCTTTTAGCTCTCCCCAGCTAAAGGGACCAGGAGGGAATAACCGCTTGGCAGCACCTCCCACCCTAAGTGTTGCCAATGAGAATGACAACAAAAACCAGCAATCAGATGCAGGGGATTTTGTTAGGACCCCGCTGAGGCTGAAGAATTGTACCAAAAGAGAGCGTTAGGTGTTCTGATACAGGCTGGCACAGGCAGCCTTGTCTGCTTAGAGAGTCAGGTGCGCACTGCAATGGCACGGATTTGGTTACTGTGGCGTCTTTAACAGGCTGCTTTTGCTGCCTAAGTTCAGGGCTTTAATGCCATTCTGGCCCAACTGCCTCATGCTCCAATAGGGAAAGGCAGTGTTCTTAAAGCTATGTAGGCAATGGAACTACATGGTCGAGGGAGTGAAAACTGGTAGTGGAGGGGGGAAGGACGACCCATAAATCTCAAGCCCCCAGAAGAGAAGACTGGCAAGGAGCCAGGAGACACTGGGATAAGGGAATCCTGGCTAGGAAAGAAATCACATAGTAGAGGAGGAAACAGAGGATCCTGAAGGGAAGAAAAGCAGACAGGTTATTTTGAAAACAGCAGACCTAAAGGAAAGCACTGGGGCCTTGGTGACAGGAGCCAAAGGTGCCAGGTTTTCTGGGCACATGAGGCCACTGCTGGATGGGCTCAGCAGCCTGGAGAGTGGGTGGGACGGGGGTGGGAGCTCTGGATGTCCTGAGGCAGTGGGTGCAGGCCCTGTGGGAATTTCCGTTTCTGGGAGGAGAAACTCCAGAGAAGGGAAGGGAGTCCCAGTGTTTTCCTACTTGGCCTCTCTTGCCCACTTCCACCTGCTGTCTTGACTATGGGAGACAAGTTCTCAGGAGGTGTTTAGTTGAGAACATCCATTGCACCTCTTCTCTGTGCACTAAGGAGAAGAGGTGGGTTGACTAGGGAACTGTCTAAATATCTGCAAGGCTAATTTCAGAGAGTGAAACTTACTTCTGGATCTTCAGCCAATCAGTAGAGAGGAATCAGCCTGCTCTCTGGAGGGCACCCTTGAGGTCTTGGGATTTAAAGTCTCTTGAGGTGGGAATCTCAGGACTAACACAATTGAGGTATGTGAGGTGAGAACAGGGAAAGTGAAAGGGTTAGCAATGCCTAGACCAGGTCATTCACCCAGGAGGTAGATACAGCTTCATGGAAAGTGGGGGGCAAAGTTTCTGCAGGGCTATAGGCAGGGGACTTAAAAGCAACAGGAGCAGCTCCTCTCCCATTTCAGAAATTGCAAGAGAAAAAACTTCGAAGAAATTATAGCTTCCCTTTTGGGAAGCAAGTCTGAATCCTGCAAAAGATACTCAGGCATTAAGAGACTATTGTCATTTATACACACTTAGCCATCAGATTCCCCACCATGACCTTCAAATTTCAAGTGGGGAAGATAATAAGAGGGTGGCAAAGTGGGCTTTAGAACCAACCCAAAGCTAAAGGGCTGCACTGACAGTGTCCCATGCTCTAGACCCTGCAGCTACTCTCGTCTCAGAGGAGCTTGTGCAGCTGCCTCTGGCCCTATCTGCCTTAAGGCTAGGGAGCTAGGAATGCCCATTAGTAGTGGGCCTTTGGAAGGGAAGAAATGTTGGCCACCAAAAGCTGCTGCCCTCCCCAAACTTCCCAAGGTGGGGTGATTTCTTCTCCCAGGTTGAGGCTAGGCCACTATCCAAGTACCTGAGTCTGGATACGGTTCAGGCCCCGGAACCAGAGGATCTGGCCTCGGCGCAGCTCCATTTCTGCATGGTCAATCTCGTCTAGCCCCTCTGCATCCCTGGTGATCTCCTCTTTGGCAGTGCCATGCCCAGCCTCCTTCAGGAACTTCAGGGATTGGGTAGGTATTGTGGAGATTACCTGAGAAAAGGTGCAGCAAAAGGGGAAAGACCAGAATCAGGGTCAGGCCCTTGGGTAGGTTCCTCTTTGCCCTATGACCCATCTCACTGCGAGAATAGTGGGAGAAGCACCAGTCCAGTCCAGCAGTATTTACTGAGTGCCTATGAGCTGAGAGGACCTCAGGAAGGTTTCCCGTATTTATGGGCATCCAAAAGACAACTTATATTCTAGAATTGGACTAGTCATCTGCCTAGTTCCGTTTCTTTCTCCCCCTGTCTCAGTTCCTCCTTTCCATTATGCCAGGTGTCTTTTCAGGGAAGCAGAACTACGATGCATGGTACATAGAGACCAGGACCTGGGGGAAAACAAGTCTGAGGACTGGATGGTCACATTACATGTGTATGAAGGAGGGGTAGAGAGGGTGTTGGAAAAGAACGAGCCTCTTCTTAGTTACTACACACAAAGTAATTCCTTGTTATAAAACTGTAGTGAAAGGATACTAAGCCTTCTTGGACTTGGGTGAGGAAGTAGGTGGGACAGGCCATGGAAAGAAGGACATGAGTAATACCAGAAGCCGTGGAGCAGTAGGGTAGGCTTGTAATTCAAAGTAAACCACTTGGTGAGCTTAGTGCCTGTCAATCAATTCTACTTTACATAAGAGAGGAGAAGACAGGGCTCAGGTGGGAAAGAAGGGCTGTGTGGGCAGTCCAGCATGGACCCAAGGGTTTTGAAATAGGAAGAATGTCAAAGTTGAGCTTTCGGATGTTGGAAGGAGCTGCTGTGATACAGAAGGCTGCTATCTGCCATCAAGGCCGCATAGTCACGGACAACACTCAGGTGAGAGTTTCAAACAGCAGGTGAAACAACCAAGCTTCACCTCAGTGTAAGCCGCTTTAGGGACACACTGGGAAATGAACTTCAGCAAACAGAGCAGGGTGGAGGGACTTGGGTTAGAACAGGGATACTACTTTTTCAGGGAGGCATCTAGAAGGTATGAAAGAAACAGGTCTCTGGGGGAAAGCCTGCAGCCCTGGGGAGGAAACTTTGGGGTCAGTTAGAGCAAAGCAGAGGACTTGCAAAGTGGTATTAGGAAGGGAATGACACTCTTACCAGACCTGACGATATTACTATATTAACAGCTAACATTTTACTCAGTACTTACAGGATAGTAGACATTGTTCTAAGTCATTTCTGTAGAGTAACTGATTTGTTGATTAACAATTAACAATGACCCTGTTATCCTAAGTTGAGGAAACTGAGGCACACAGTGGTTAAGAAACTTGTTCAAAGTTTAACTTGTAAAAAGGAGAGCTGGAATTAAACTCAGGTCGTCGATCCAACATCCATGCTCTGAGATGGATGCTAGGCTAGAGACCTTGTGAGTCTGGATTTATTTTAGCTGCAAGTCAGGCCTTCAACCCAGATAAGGCCATGGTGAGGAACAGAAGAGGTGGGGGAGCCTTAAACTATGTCAGCAGAGTAGCCAGTGCCAGACTGAAGCTTCATTAGAAAAAAGGCATATGCTTTGTAAACTCCTTTATTTCTAAGACCCTTACTTTATTATTATTTGCAAAATTTCATTGAAAATTTCCACTCCCTTCTCAGAGAAGTCCCAAGCCTGGTTAGAGAAGAGAGCTAAAGCCTCTAAAGTGATGGGCAGTGATCATTCCACCTTGGCATCCTACAAGATGGGAAAATTTTAAAAACTTGAGGGGGTGGGGAGGAAAGGAGAAAAGGTCTACAGGCCATGCAAATGCACAGGGAGGGTGGGCCAGTACTCACCTGACCCCACAGCAGTTCTCCAATGCCAATGAAGAGACACCAAAACCACTGGGACAGGGTGAGCTTCGTACAACTGAAAGGCTTACCCCCAAACTCCACGATGATAATCTAGAACAGAGAAGGGGCAGCCCGCCATCAGGGAGGGAACAGGCAGCCAGCCCTCCAGCTAAGGGCATCAGAGCCACGTAACCCTTTGCCCCAGGATTCTTGTGGTCTAAGTCCTGATTTGCTTGTTGGGAAAGGAGAAAGAAAATATCTGGAAGGAGAGAAGGGGAGACAGACACAGTCTTTAAACACTCTGATAAGGAGACAGTCTTACCTCTGACTAGGGCAAGAAGGAAGGGCCCAATCCTCTTACCACCAGAGGCATGGAAAAGGGGTAGAAGACAGTGACCTTCCTCTTGGTCACTTTGTGAGATTTCTGTGTTTTAGAAAGATAATGAAAGGATTCTACAAGCCTTATTTTATCTGCTGCCAACATGCTGCCTTGCCCTGGAGCACTTGACAAAGCAGGTTCCAAGTCTAGAGCCATGTCCACATGGAAGCCAATGGAGAACCCAACACCCGACAGCCTGAGTCCCCATCACTCCCTCATTCCTTTTCCTAGGTACTTAGGGAACCCTGGCTCCTAGCTTCTGGCCTGCATCACCCCAGACTTCCTACCCCCACTCCAGCTAGAATCTCACCTGGCTGACGAATGTGCCCAAAACCACAGAACAAAAGATGAGATTACGGAAGATGCCTGCAAAGACATTCCTCTCTCCGTGGATCTTGCGTGAGTTGATTTCATTGAAGAGCTGCATCAGCACAAAAGTGTTGAAAATAATGGTGTAGTGCTGGCTGGGTGGGGAATGTAGAGGTGCCTTCCTCCCACTATCAATGTCAAACAATTTCTCACCTAGTGGAGAGAGGGGAAGCACTGGAGGGTAAGTATGATCTCAACGAGTGCTCAGGTTGAGTCAGAACGCGTTGGTGTGGCCATACTGGCTGCTGATGGCTGGTGTCCATTCAAGTTGGTCAGTATCTGAGCTACGTTAGTTATTAAATATTTTAAATGTTAGCCCTGATCTCAACATATCTGACCCTCTCTGTTTGCTCCGTTGATATTTATCTTCTTGTAGTGCAGCACGGTTGTAAAACTACGTGCCCTGGAGTCAGGCAGACATAGATTTGAATCTCAGCGCCACTTTTATGTGACCCGAGCTTTGGTTTTATAATCTACAAAGAAAGGTAAAATGATATTCTTAACAGAAGTACATAAACCAGCATAAGGTGCCCTGTAGCAGGAAGAGAGGACACACTCAGAGAGTGGAGCTGCTGTGACTCCTCATCTTGTGCTCAGCTTGCTCCCTTCTGCCTCCTGTCCTCGGGCCAGTCTCTGCCCCGTCTTCATCCGGCACCCCAACCACCACCTCACCCCACCCCACACTTGGCTCACCGGCAAAGACAAGGAGAAAGATGACTGTGAGCTGATAGACAGCATGGCCCAAGATGTTCTTCATCATAGTCCGGGAGATCAGGGGCTTGTTTCGGCCATAGGGGCGACGCTTCAGCAAAGAATCTGTGGGAGGCTCTGTGGCCAGGGCCAGTGAGGCAAACGTGTCCATGATTAGATTAACCCACAGCATCTGCACAGCTTTCAATGGGGAATCCTAGTGGGAAGAAGAATCAGTCCTTTCAGCTCTCCTCGGAAACCACCCTCACCTCACTCATCAGCCTCACCCTTGTCCTCGAGATGGCCTAGCTCCTGTTGTCCACCTAGACTTAGGGTCTGGCCACTTATTAGCTGAGTGACCTTGAGAAAAATACCTAACCTCCTTGAACTTCGGGTTCCTCACCTGTAAAATGAGGATAATACGTACTTTGCAAGTACCCATCCCAGTGGCTGATATGTAAGTGCTAACTCAAGCACTTTATTGATTTTAGAGAGAGGAAGGGAGAGAAACATTAATGTGAGAAACATGGAATTGGTTGCCTCTTGCACGCCCCCTACTGGTGGTCGAGCCTGCAGCCTGGGCATGTGCCCTGACTGGGGATTTAACTAGTCACCTTTTGGTACATGGGCATTCCCCACGTTTCTTAACCCTTGCCTCGTATCTCCCACTTCAGCCCCCTCCACACACACTCCCGTCACCTGAGTGATGCAGGCTCCAGTGAAGGCCACAATCACGGCCACCACATTGACAGTGAGCTGGAACTGCAGGAACTTGGAGATACTATCATAGACGTTTCGTCCCCACATCACTGCCTTCACGATGCTGGTGAAGTTGTCATCTGTTAGGATGATGTCTGATGCCTCCTTTGCCACATCTGTGCCTGCAATGCCCTGAGGTAAGAAGGGGAAGGAAAACTGAGAAACTGGGCAAAGCAGAGTTTACCAGCATCCTGAACCCAGACTCCACTTCCTGACTTCCAAGAAGCTTCCGAACTAGATCTACACTAGAGGGCACTGTAGCGACACAAATCCTAAGCCTTGAGTTCTTTCCCAAAGAAAATGAAGGGAAGATGTGTTACTGTCACTTCTCCAGAGAAGAAGGTTGGGACCTGATGCTACCACCTTACTCCTGAACCCAGACTGCAAATTAGTGATCTTTTGATATTCCTGTCCCTCTTCATTCCTTCTCCTCCGCCTCAGAAAGGAATTAAAAGATAGGGAACAAGTCCTATGTATCCTACCTCCAAATGCTTAAATTTCGTTTGTGACAGCGAGTACCTCACTTAAGTCCCTATCCCCCACCCCAACTTTAAGTAGGAGTAGCCTGGCAGCACAGCGCAGAAGTCTTACCCTTGTTCAGAATCCCACCACTGGGAAACCACTGAGTGTTTCTGAACAGACATATCAGGGGTTGAAAGCTGTGTTTTAGATGCTCAACTTTCTAGTCTGGCAGTCAGCACCCTCAATAAGTGAACCCTGATGCAGTTTCCAACCTGCTCTTTACATATCTTTCTGCTCGAAATCCACTGGTTTATTCACAAGTCCCTGCATCTCTCATTCACTTGTGGAGCCTAGAGTTCTACTTACACCATCCCCCCAAGTCTGGAACATCTTTCTCCGACTACTTAAATCCTACCTATCTTTAATGTTCCATCAGTTAAGCTCTACTTGCTTTGCAAAGCTGTCCCTGACACCCCCAGACCATACTTCTAGTCCACATCTTGTGACTTCTGTAACCCACAGAGGTGCTTACTTGTTAACTTGGCTGCATTACTAGATTACTGGTTCTCTTTACCTGGTAGTATATTTTCCTATCCAGACTGCAACAAATGATTATCTGTTAGACTATACAATTCAGTTTCCCCATCAAAAAGTTCTCTAATGCATCCACACAATGCTGTACCATGCACTGTAAAGAAAGGAGGAAAGAAAGGAGGAATATCTCTTTATACTGCTACCGCGGGATAATCTCCAAGTTACGCTGTTAAGTGAAAAAAACAAGATGGAAAAAAAGTGCTTAGTACGTATACGTAGGTGAGAACAGATAGCACTATAGGTAAGTACCACTCATCTAAGAGGGTGAGATGTAAATATTACTCATTAAATTATAGGTAAGTATCACTCATCTAAGAGGGTGAGATGTAAATATTACCCATTAAATTATATTTTGTAGGAGCAAACAGAAGGATAAACCAAAAACTAAAGACATAAATCACCTGTTAAGAGGGAGGCAACAAGGTGGAGGTGGTAGGAATAGAAGCTAGATTTCTATGATAGGCCTTATTTTCTATATTTGGCTTTAGAACTACATAACTACTTTATACAAGTATAAAACAAAATTAAGTATAAAACAAAATTAAGTTTAAAAAGCAATCTCTAGCCCTCGCCAGTGTGGCTCTGTTGGTTAGCGCGTCATCTTGTGCACCAAAAGGTTGTGGGTTCAATTCCTGGTAAGGCACATACCTACGCTGCGGGTTCAGTCCATGGTTGGGGCGCATATGAGAGGCAACCAATTGTTTCTCTCACATCAATGTTTTTCTCCCTCTCTCTTCCTCTCTCTCTAAGAGCAGTAAAAAACATGCCCCTCAGGTGAAGATTAAAAAATGAAAAAAAAAAAAAAAAAGGGACCATACTTCCCTTACCATTTTAAGGCATAAAATGACAAACAAAACAAAACAAAACAAAGCAATCTCTAAATTGGAAAGCAACATGATGTAAATAAACTGGTGTAACCAGTTGGTAGCACAAACCACACAAAGGAAATACGTCCCAAATGACCTTTTTAAAAACACAGTAAGTTGATGGCACATTCTTTGTGGGATGTACCTGCAGGGTAAAAAAAACTATAAGAAAAACCTTTAACTGCTTTTAGTAAAGTAATTGTATTTTGCTCTTTTGAAACCATTATATATATTTTAGAATAAAACAAATAATAATTATGTTAATGTCCTTAGGAGCCAAAATTTTCAGCGTAAGAGATATAAATAAAAATCAGGGAAGTCAAATAAAATAAGGGAGTTAAAGTTCTATAACTGTAAATTTGAATTGGAAATATCAATAAGGATTCATGAAGTATTTTACTCTAAAACACAGAAACATCAAAGAAACATGAGACATATTTCCTAGTTTTGTCCACTGATAAGGTCTAGAAACAATGACTTACTCAGTAGTAAGGAACATCCTGACATTCAGATTGTGTTCCCTAAATACCATTTCTCACTAAAATGAAGCAGGACGCCTTTGAGAAATGGGTGATTCCAGAACTAGGACAAGAAATACACACAATGACTCTGGAACATCTTATCATATAAGAAACTAAGGAAGCTATAGACACAGCTGGGGGTTTTATCAAAAGAACTCAGCAGGGCCCTGGCCGGTGTGGCTCAGTTGGTTGGGCACTGTCCTGTGCACCAAAAGGATGCCAGTTGGATTCCTGGGTTGCAGGCCTGATCCCCAGCAGGGGGCCTGCAGGAGGCAGCCGATCAATGACAACTTTCTCATCACTGATATTTCTATCTCTCTCTCTCCCTCTCCCTTCCTCTCTCTGAAATCAATAAAGATATATTTAAGAAAAAAAAAGTGCAGCCCTAGCCAATTTGGCTCAGTGGTTAGAGTGTCAGCCAGCGGCCTGAAGGGCCCTGGGTTCGATTCAGGTCAAGGGCATGTACCTCGATCCCAGCACCAGTTGGGGTGCATGTGGGAGGCAACCAATAGATGTGTCCCTCTCACATCGACATTTCTCTCTCTCTCTCCCTCTCCCACTTTCTCTGAAAAGCAACGGAAAAATATTGTAGGGTGAGGATTTAAAAAAAAAAATGGAACTCAGCAGGGCTGAAGAGGCTCATGATGGCCCACTGTGAGCATCAAAACAATAATATGGGCAATGGACTGAAACACATCAAATATGCTTAAATCCATGAGTTCACAATAATACTCATTGATCACCTTTGGAGGATCCTAAAAAGTGAAGTTGGTATTTTGAAAACTGGGAGATAAAGGAAAAGAATCAGGCATTTAACTTTTCATGCAGGAACTGAACTTCAGAGTAACCGAAGAATTGATAAGGGAGCATTTCTTTTTATAGAATATTCAAGTTAACAAGTAAAGAAAATCAGAATGTCATTTTGTAGCCCTACTGATCTAGAATCTGATTGCTTCTACAACTAATAACTAGTTTATAGGAAATATACGGAACAAAAGGACATGTTAAAGGACACAACAGGGCTACAATCAACAAAATCCCTGCTGTGAGATATTCTACTTAGACATACAACCTGGTTTCTCCAAGACTAAATGGCCAGGAAATAAAAGATGGGAGGGAATTGTGCAGGAGAGACTTAACATAGCGAGCCTGAGACTGCTGTCCTTAGAGAGGCCTGTTTGTAAGGCTGGCATCAGGAAACTTGGCTCTGGGAATGCTCCCAGTCAACAATTAACTGAAAGTTAGTAAGTGTTCACTGTGCCCAAACAATATGGTTTCTGAACACCCACTTTCCTTCTGGGAGTCTGGAATCACAGGATGTGCTGGGCAAAGGTGCCTACAGGACCAACCCCAGTAAATACCTTGGGTGCTGAGTCTCTGATGGGCTTCCTTGGGCAGGAAGATCACGTGTCGCTGTTTTTGTTGCTGTGTGACCCCTCACCATGGGAGAGAGCATAGGGAAGCCTGCATGTGGACGTCTCCAAACTCTGCCTGTGACTTGCCCCCTTACTATATCTTTTCTATACCAAGGTACTAAAGTTTAGCCATGAGTACAGCTATACTCTGAGCCCCATGAGTCCTTTTAGTGAACCCATAAATGTCAAGGGTGGTCTTGGGGACTCGACACAGGGATCTTACGGGATCAGTGGTTCTCAAATTTTAGGGTGTATCTGAATCACTGAGGGCCTATTGCAGGGCCCCAACTCCAAGCTTTCTGATTTGATCTGAGGTGGCCTGAGAATCTGCATTTCTATAGGTTTCCAGGTACACCTGGAAGAAGGAACACACTTTAAAAACTACTGCTATAGATAAAGATATTTAAGAGATATGTCAAACAATTGCAATGTATGGATCTTATTTGAACAAATCATAAAAACAATATTTATGAAGCAATTGGGAAAACGTGAACTGACTAGATACCTGATGACAGTAAGGAGGCAATTTTCTTATGAGATGGTATTATGATTCCTTTAAATACGTTTTATTGATACCCAACTGGGGTACCTTGGCATATGTGACTTTAAATGAACTTTCCAAGTGATGCTGATGCTCCCAGCTTCACAAGTGAAAAGCAGAGTGCTGAGTAGTGCTGGCCATACAGCACAGGCGCCATACGGAACACGAATTTTCCAGTCTGCTTAGACAGAAAATATCACCATGTTCGTGGGCAAGTTGAAGTTGTCTTGTTTTCCAGAGTAATGACACGTCCTGATTGCCCTGCCTGTGTCGCCCGTTTACACACATTATCACTGGCTAGGTAGGTCGGAGAGATGGAGCCAGAGAAAGAGCACAGTGGGATGTGAAGGCACAGGAAGCCCGCCCTGGCTTCCTAGTGGAGAAGGCAGCTCCCAGTCAGGCAGAGACACTGCCGAGCTGCTTACCATGGCGAACCCCACATCTGCTTTCTTCAGAGCCGGCCCATCATTTGTGCCATCACCAGTGACAGCCACCACCTGTCGCTGTTCCCCGACAGTGCTGTCAATAATGCCTGGGAAAAAGACACACCTCAGTCAGTCCCCACATGCCACCTGAGGTCAGCCCTGTTCCCCACACAAAGCGCTTTTCCGGTCGTCTTCCCTGCTCCTGCCATCAATTCCCTTCCTCCTGCCTTCTTGTTTCCCTCTGCTGGGAGTTCTAGACTATCTTCCGGGGCAGCACATTGTTTCATGGGTGGCACTCTGAGCAAAGAAAGTCTGTCTGTGTCACATACTGTCTGAGGCCCTAAGACGGCTATTGTTGGTACCAAAGCTCCAAATGATTTGAAGGTGGAGACCTGGGGTCCAGCTGTACCACTTCCACTTCCCAGTTGGGCAGTTTGGGTATGTTACTTGTCTTTTTAGCGTCAAACTTCCTTATTTGCAAAATGGAAATAGTTTACCCTGCCCTGCTTAGTTCATAGTATTATTGGCAAATCACATACAGGGTGGGGCAAAAGTAGGTTTACAGTTGTATGAGAAACAGTTTATTCTTGTATTATTATTAATTATTGTATTATTTTCCATACAAACAGCTGTAAACCCTGTTTTGCCCCACCCTGTAGGGTAATGTTTAAAAACAACTTTATTATATGTCTCATACTCATCAGGGCTCAGCTGTTAGCTAAACTGTGTATCCCCACCATGAGCCAGAGAGCTCTCCCAGGACCACCCTATTCGGGACATGAGTTGCTTTGGCTTATGGTTTTTATCTGTCCCACTCTGGCCTGTCTTCCTCTACCCGCCACCTACTCAGGAGCTGACCTCACCTTTCACCAGCGTATGCTTGTCCGTGGGGGAAGATCGCGCCAGGACTCGAAGCTTAGGCCAGACCTTGTCCAGCTTTTCTTGTTCTACCTGCCAAAAGCAGACCACACATAGGTCAGTCAAGCTCAGGACAGCCATCCAGGAAAATCTCCCTTTCCCACCCACTCTATGCTGCTGGAAATCTGGAACTCCACGGCCAGGGGCAGTGCTAGCATGGCCTTTAGGCCAGATGAAGCAGCCGCCTGTCTCCAAGGGCAGAGTCCCTGAATGTGACCATTCAGGTCCTGCTTGTCTTTATCCTCCCAATTCTGCATCTGGGAGCTGACCCCCTACTTCTAGACCCTTGACAGAAGGTGAGCCAGGGTTAGCTGTTGGCTCAGGTGCCTAAAGTGGTGCTTCTGCGGTCTTAGGTTCGATTTCTGCACAGACCAGGAAGCTTTGGGATGCCCCACAGCCAGACCACGCCCCCCTACAAACCCATGCCACTGTTAGCCACAGGGCAGTGACACAGGAGGAAGAAGGTGGACTGGAAAAAATGGAAAGATCTGAACAGTCAGTGACACTTCTCAAAAGCGAGCTTGAGAATGAAGATCATGAGCAGAAAGCTCTTAATTTTACCATCTGAGCAGCTCTGGGGGAAGGGATATTTCACTATGAATAGCTTTTAGTTTAAAAGGCACCCACCTTCCCCCATGTGTCCCAGATGTCTTACACCAGACCCAGCCTTGCCCTTGCCAAATGAGGCCCCAGTTCCTCTTGCCCAGGACCCACCTCGCCCTTCTCATTGCGGATGAGTCGGTTAAATTCCTTGCCTTCCAAGCACAGGAAATCATCCCCAGGTGTCACAATGCCACATTTGGTGGCAATGGCCCGGGCTGTGTTGATGTTGTCTCCTGTCACCATTCTGACAGTAATGCCAGCTCGTTTGCATTTGGCAATAGCATCTGGTACCTGTGGAGGGTGGGGCAAGAGGAGAGGAGAAGTTGTTCCTTCATTGTGGACAGGACAGAGGCACCCTAGAAGCAGTGTCACCTTATTGCTGTCCCACCCATAATATGCACTGTGGAATTTGCTCAGTGTACCATGAGTTGAAGGGGAAACTGGCTTCAGGGGCCAAGTATAAAGGCTCACTCTCCTGCTTATAATCTAGACTCCTTAGTAGGGCACATATGGCTTCTGAGATGTGGCCACTGCCTTCCTTTCTAGCAGAAGTTTTTACCACTCTCCATCCTCCCCAGCCCATGCTCCAACCATATCAATTCTTTGTAGTTTCCCAAATGCATGACACCTTTTCCTGCTTTTGGGTCTTGAAAATTGATAGCCTATCTCTCTGAACTTCGTAGCAGCAGAGATGTTTTCAATTCCCCAGTGTCAAGAATAATGTTTGGTTATTCTGGGGAGATCAACAAAAATGTGTTGATTGAAAGAAGGTGGCTAGAGACAAAGCTGGTGTCCTGATTAATTCAGCCTCCTGACTGTTCTTAGGAAACAAATGACAAGCCCAGTGAAACTATGCTTCTCACCCACGGACAGCATTAACCGTAGGCATGTGCCTTCCATCGGTCAGCACTCTGCAGCTGAAAGCACAGACACAGCTGTCCTTGAAAGCGAGAAGCAATCAGGTAACAGTTGCGTGGGTCACAACTGCAAGCAGGCCCAGTGCCCTTGTTCCAGGGACTCCTGGTGGCTTCCCAATGGGTCACATTGGGCTGGCACGTGGGCCGGGGGCCACTGGAAGACTTCCATTCATGTGTTCTTGCCCTTTCTCCAACCCGAAGTCTCACCTCCGGGCGCACAGGGTCCTCAATGCCCACCACTGCGATGCAGGTCAGTTCAGTGAGGATTTCGCTCTCATTGTCCCATGGGGGCTCTACATCACTGAAATCTCGGTAAGCTAGGCAGATGGTCCGGAGTCCCTCACTGGCCATGGGCTCGATGACCGTGCGCACCATCTCATCCCGGTCCTTATTTTTGAATGGCATGGCTTCTCCTTTCTTGTCCAGGATTCGATTACACCTGGGGAGGTGCACAGTCAGAAGGCAGCAGCCCTCTTCCCACCCAGGGTGTCTCTACAGTCTTTTATAGGCATCCTGGCAACTCTGCATACTTCTAAAAACTGTTCCATGGCCAGAAATCTCTACCACCAGCCAGCTGGGTCCCTTTTTCCAAGGCGGGGTGGCCTGTAGATAGACAGGCACAGGCGAAGCCTGTGATTCCCCCATGTCACCTGCTCCTACTCGTGTGTGATGCAGCGTCAGAGCCATTTGTGGATTACCCGCTCTTTTGAACTTCTCAAAGGTAGGGAGACCTTTTCTTTGGCTAGTATCTAGAATAGTGCTTGGTGGATAGGGTGTGCTCAACAAGAATGTGCTCACTGACAGAAGGTGCTGGTTAATTCAGTGACTGGCCCTATACCCATGTAGGTCGACTGTTAATGACCCAGGGATAATCCAGCCACTTTGATTAGGTTACACAACTTCCCTGTAATTAGAACTGAGAATGAGAAGGAAAAGGGAACAGAGAACTAACATTTCTAGTACTTGCTGTGTGCAAGGCGTTTACATACATTGAACCATTTAATTATAGCAACCTTGTGGGATGGGTAGGTACTACTCTCTGTTTCCAGATGAGGAAATGGAAGCTTGAATGGCCTAGGTCTGAATCCTGACTGTGCCACTATTAGTTGTGTCACCTCCAGCACGTTACTTAACTTCGCTGTACCTCTGCTTTTTCATTTGTAAAAAAGAGATGCCAATAGCATCTACCTCATTGAATCGTGGGGATTAAATAAAACGAGTCACCTAAGGTATTTATAAACGATGCTTGGCCTAAGTAAATGCTCAGCTACTGGGAGGCTCGTGCGTCCGGGGGCTCGGCGCGGGGCGTGCCTAGACTTGAGGGGGGTCTCGGAGGGGAGGGGAGGGGCGCTCACTTTCGCAAGATGATCTCCGAGGCGCCCTTGCTGTACATGCGGTAGCCGCCGCTGGGCTTCTGGATGACCGTGCTCATGGACTTGCGCACCGAGTTGAAGGTGTACACCTTGTAGAGCTTCTCCTCGGGCACCTCGCTGCGCACCGCGTGGTAGTCCTGCTTCAGGTCTGTGACGAAGCCCAGCAGCGCACACTCCGTCTTGTTGCCCACCTGCCGGGGCAGGCCGCCCTCCTTCTCCGGAGGCTGGGAGGAAACACCGGGCACTACTGAAGAAGACGCCTCCGCCAGGGAGGACTCAGGAGGGAAAGACCCCTCAAAACCTCACATGTATGCCCAGAGCCCAGGGGTGGGGTGGGAGGACGGCGTTTGTCCTATTCAAGGGCAGACGGACAGTGGTCAGTGGACTGGCCCCTGAGCCATCCGGGTTATAGGTTTTAATTTTGCCATGAGGCTGGTGCTGGCGTCTCACCCTGCGTGGGTCTTATTCTATCTAATACCCTCTCTGAGTTTCCAGAAAGTGAGTACTTTCCTCCTGATAAGCCCAGTTCTGCTATCAGCATGGGGCATCTCCCTGGAGATACCACCTTTACATGGTAATTGGAGGGCATTTCACAGCCATAGGTTCCTACCTGCCCTCCTCCCCGCCCCCCACGCCATCCCCCAACCTACTCATATGGATTATTCCCTAGTTTCACCCCAAACAAGTTCACGTAAGAGTGAGACATGCAGTATGGAATGGCAGTCCAGGCAGAATGAACAAAAAAGATGAATTGTCTCAGATAAAATTAATGTTCCCTCTATGCCCATTCCAAATGTCCAGGCAAAGGAAGAGCTTACCAGGATCTTGGAGGTATAGGCACTGTTGATAGAAATGCCATTGACAATAAGGTCCAGGACCTTGGGCACGAAGGCGTCAGGGCTTGGGAGCTGATGGTAATGGGTATCTCCAATATAAGCTTGCACCACAGTCATGCGGTTCATGGTCAGCGTGCCTGTCTTGTCAGAGCAAATGGCTGTGGCATTGCCCATTGTCTCACAGGCATCCAGGTGCCGTACCAGGTTGTTGTCTTTCATCATTTTCTACAAAGGACAAGAGAAAAGGCTTGAGAGGGGACCAGCTGAGCTCCCCAGTGTAGGTCAAAGGCCATTTCCTAGCCAACATCTCTCCACATTTCATTCTCTTGTCCCACAGAAAAATGCAGGACACTATTCTTGTGAATCCTCTTTAGATTCTACCGGGTCATTTAAACTCTGATGCAACTATCACGATGGTCCTTCCATAAGGCCAGGGACTTGTGCTCTTATGAGGCACCAGCCAGAGTCCACAGAAGACAGATGGCCTGTCCCTTCATTAAAGGCTACGTGGCACTCTCTTCTCCCACCTGTGTCCTGAAGGAAGAGGAAGTATCAGTCCAGTCTCACCTTCACAGAGTAGGCCAGTGAAATGGTGACAGCCAGTGGCAGCCCCTCCGGCACAGCCACCACCAGTACAGTGATGCCGATGATGAAGAACTTGACAAAGTACTGGATGTAGATGGGCGTGCACTCGGCTAGCCACTGTTTGCGCTGTATCACGAAGTTGTCAATCACAAAGTAGAGAATCAGGATCAGAACGGTGATAGCAGACATGATCAGACCTGAACAGGGAACAAGTCACATGGACCCCGGTTCCAGGGCACTCCTAAGACCCCAGCCAGAGATGGATTGGCTTAAGTTGTAGCCTTTGTCCCCAATTTTTAAAACTGTTACCTCCCGAAAGTCATAGTAAAATCCCCTGCCCATTCTCTGCAGCTTGCATGTGATAATGCAGGGAAAAGACACAGGTTCTAGTCTCTGCACGGCACCAGTTTTGGTCTAGTCTTTGACCCCGTCCGGCCTGTTTCCTTGTGTATAAGTAACGGGGCTGGTCTAGTGTTCTGAAACAGCATTCTACGATCCTCTCTCAGACCTACCCTCTTCCCACGATTCATAATGTAGTGACCATATTTGCCAGTTTCCTAGCAGTTTATCAATGCAGACTTTCCCCGTAGCAGCCTGCAAATGCCAGGCAATTTCGCAGCTTGTTTACAGCAATGCCCCTATGGTGTCAGCACAGGACCTACAAGACCACCCCTCACCACAGTGCCTCCCAACCTTCTCCTGAAGGCACAGACAAACGGCGGCAATAACAGCACGTATTTATATAGCGCCTACTATGGGCCAGGCAAACTCTTTGCATAAACTTATTTTATCCTCATGAAAACCCTGTGAGATGAGTTCCTATCATTGTGTCCTCTTCTGAGGACACTGCGGCACAGAGGGGCTTTTGGTATGGCACACAGGTCGGGGGACCAACCATCCTGATTTGTAGACTGAGCAGTTTCCTGGGATGCGGGAGAACTCAGGAGGAAAAGAATTCTCCTTAAGACTTCCACTTTCAGTTCTGAAACAGAAAGTCGCAAGCAAACTGGGACAGCTGGTCAACCTATACACTGAGGCAAATGGAAGAATCTGCTCATGGTCTGTAAACAACTGGCCCAGGGGCTCCAATTGTCCTGGGATCAGTCAGGGGTACCCATATCTGTGGCACAATATCTGCCTTAAACCATAGTCTGGTTTGGGTCCTCACTTTTCCTGAGGGCCTGCCGAGCAAGGCTCGAGGTGACCAATGAGTATCGGTGAGAGTGTGTTGAGAGTGTGTTCTTTTACACTTCGCTTCACTAGGCTCGGGGCTAATGTGAGGCAAACGAGGTGCCTAGGGCACAAAATTGAAGGAGGTATCACTCAGGGTAGCGCAAAGCACCTCATTTGCCTCACCCTAGTCCCAGCCTCGTTGAAAGGTAAAATAAAACAACAGAGGAAACGACGGGCCAGCCATCAGGAAGCTTGTCCTTCTTCCAGGACAACACAGGGATTAGGAGGAAAATAGGAGGGATTAGGCGGGGCCTGTTTCATGTTTCAAACCTGAGTGTCAGGCGCAATGGCTTGATTCCACACCTGCAGTTCATCTCCTCCATGCAGAGTTTATATTTAAGAGATTTCATAGTAGTCAAGATTAGCTGGGTAAGAGAACAGAACGAACAGGCTGGACTAGCGCTCTCTAACAGAACTCTTGGGGACGTTTAAAATTAAAATGTTCTCTATTTACACTGTCCAATACAGTAGCCACCAGCCACATGTCACTATTGACCAATCAAAATAAGGCTAATGTGAACTGAGAAACTGAACGGTTAATTGTACTTGATTTTAATCAATTTAGCTAGAAACAGCCAAACACGGTTAGTGGCTAAGGTAGTGGACAGCACAGATCTAGCTGTGTGTGTGCTTAGTGGGTCAGCGTCATTGGCCTCACCTGGGCGTGTTAGAAATGCAGTCTCAGGCCCTGCCCAGGCCTGAATCAGACACTGTGCTTTAACAAGGCTCCAGGTGAGCTGTACACACAGAGGTGCACCAAGCTAGACTGTGATTGTAGTAAGGGAGGGGTGGGCTCAGAAAGTAAACAGGTACAAGACGTACCCGGAGGGATCTGCCCACTGAAGGAGCACCCTTCCTGTCCTTCCCTCCTCCAAGCCCTCGCCCCGTCCCACCACTACAAGAGGACAGGTGTAGCAGCGAGTCCAGGAGAAGCCGCTTCCTCCCGCGGTACACACAGCGCCTGTAGTGACCTCCTCTGGAAACAGCCTGTGCTCGCTGTCTTCCTTTCCCCCCCGCAGTCCTTATTTTGAATTTATGGCTCTGTGCCCGGCCTGGTGCTAACACTCTGCTGGGGAACTACCTCCAACAAACAGCAGCCTTCTCTACCCTTAAAGGATTTACAAGCCCATACACGTGGCAGGTAAGCAGTTAGTCAAGCCTCCCTTCTTGCTCATGTAAACCTCCCATGCTGGGACATAAGTTCTTAACTTCCCATCTGTTTGGATGAGAGACCTCAGGGCCTTTCACCCTTACACATGGGGAAGCATTTCTCTCTGAAAGCAGAGGGGGTGGCCAAAGGGCGGCCGAGGCAGAAGACACGGCTGCCCACACTGCCCTGGCCACTGGGAAGTTCTAGCTTCCTCTGCCGGACCTGGTGGTGTGCAGAGAAAGGAATCACAGCAGCGGGGACGGGAACAGCCCTGATGAATGGCCACGGCCTGGAGGCCGCCCTCTGCTCACCAGCCTTCCCGATCTGGACGGCCAAGCGCGTCAGCTTGCCCTGCAGCACCGACTTCTCCTTCTTGGGCACCTTGACTGTCTTCTTCTCCTTTTCCTCACTGTCGACACCCTCCTGGCTGTTGAGCGGCTGGATTTCCAGGGCCACTCCATCCTGGGTCTTTGCTAGGGTGTACACACAAACAGGACAGGTGAGCAAGCCGGGCGGTAGCACCGAGCAGCAGACAGGTGGAAACCAAAACACCCTTCTGTCTTCTTCCTGGATCCACCCTGGACCCCTGACATCAGTCCTGACCACCCTCATCCCATGTCAGAGAGGGCGCCTGCCTTCAACCCTCTCATAGGATACTATCCTAACTAGAGATAAAAGAGGGGTGCTTTGGGGGTATGGATGTCCTCAGATGGTGCAGCTTCCTGGCACCATCTCAGAGCCCCAAGCCAAGTTTATTCTAGCGAGAAGATTAGTCACAACACTAAGCACAATTACCAACAACCATCCCTCCTGGAATTTAGTGCTTACAATGTGAATCTTTATTGCAGAAAGGGGCTGAGGGGAAAGCTGGCAGATGTTTCCAGAGCGTAAGGGTCCTAGTCTATTCTGTTCAAAGGTTCATTCTCTCTACACCTAGACTGTCAGGGAAGAAACACAGACCCTCCCCCCCACCAGGGTGTTCTCCAGCTCCTTCTATACCACTCGAACAACAGGGGAAGGAAATCCCTGACAAAGGTAGGGAGACACAGTGGGACCTGGGGTTAGTCTTCTGGGGCAGAGGAAGAAGCTGGTGGAGGGACTTCTGGAATAAGAGAAAGAAGGGATAAAGACAGACATATAAATCCAGTTTGCTTTTTAAAGAAGAGTTAAAGATACCTAAAATTAAAGAATTAGTTCTGTGCAGCCCTGGTTCTCTGATGTGAAGACTTTATTTTTAAAGACTACTCTGATATGGGTGACAGAGGAAACAGGTTTCTAGGAGCTGTCTGAGGAGAGCAGTGCTCCCTGGTTCCCACACCCTTCAACTTCACCCCTGCAGAGCTTGGCCCCTCGGCTTAGGATGCCCTTCCTGACACTGTCTCTGCTGTCAGACTCACAAACAAGACGAAGACGGGATATCAGCACAGCCACCAAAAAAGAAACACACATCAGATCGGGGGAAGAGAACAGACTGTGGAAAGAACAAAGAAAGAGGTGGGGAGAGAGGCAGAGAAAAGGCTCTCTCCAAGCACCTGAGACCAGCAGAGAAGGATTCCAGACCAGAAGAGAACACCGATGAGGAAGCTAGCAGAGGAGGGTGCAGGGACTGCCCACCCCAACGCCCTCCACCATACGGACCCTGAAGTCGTCCAACCCAGAAAACGATGATTAAATCCAGCCTAGGGTCACGAGGCAAAGAGTTCAGCACCCTGGGAAGAACAACAGATTAATCCCACACACTCCCCAAGAGAAACCTTGACATGAGGTTCCCTGAGCCAACAGCAGAGGGTGCTGTTGTCCCATCTTGGATTGAGAGTGGGACCTTGAGACCACCCCAAATCTCTGCACCTTCCTCAGGATGAGGCATCTGGGCCACAGCAGCAGATAACAGATTTATGGAGAGGAAAAGGGAGAAGGCAGGTGGCCTGGAAAGGTCTGGCTTGAGTGAAGTCAGGTAGAGATGGTAAATGAGTGGGTGGACAGGTTACCTTTGTTGCGATTTTCGGGGACTCCTTGTTTTTTACCTGTTTGAACAAGAAAGAAAAAAGTGGGGTGGAGACCCAAAGGGACTGTTAAGAGATCAGATATCCAATTTGTTGGTCCTGCTCAGAGCCCGAAAGGGCGATAGCAAAGGGGCTGAGCTGCACAGAAGGGAATGTGAAGGAAGCTCACGTCTCTACTTATATCCCTTCTCATTGAACCACGGGACACGGCCCAGACCCCTCGTGCAGGTAAGTGCACACCCACACCCCAGCTGCCTTCTCCCGGAGCACGGCCGCCACTGAGGGTGCTCCCGACCTGAGTTGCAGCACTTGGAGAAATGGGGGCGGGGGTTAGGCAGCAAGAGGTTTGGACTGCTTCTGCCTGACGGCAAAGGCTCCTCAGTGTCTCCACGCCAGCCCCTCAGCACCAGGCAGCTTCCTCCTACTTCATCTGCAGAGACGAACAGTCCAGCTCCTGAGGGAGGCTGTTGCTCCCTTTTCATAAACTGCCCTCCACTAAACAGCTCAAGACGGTCGTCCATCCAAGCGGTCACGTCCTCTCCTCCCAGGGAAGGAGGAACGCTCAGGAAAGCTGTAGATTTGGTTTTACCGTCTTTCTCTCATTTGTCTTGTCTCCCCTTCCTTCAAGAACAAGTGACTGGCAAAGGCAGGACTAACTCCCAGCAGACGTTAGCTGCTAGCTCACTGTCCTGGCTGGTCTCTTCCACCGACAGCCCGTGGTTTCAGCAGGAGTCCAGGCTCACCTGCTGGCCGGTTTTCCCCTGGCCCTCGCGGCCCACTTGCCCCCCATGTTTGAGGAAGAAAGGGATGGGTCGGAGAACTGCGCAGAGGGCATGGAGGGCCAGGGCAGGCTCTGGAACTCACCTCTTTACATCCCACCAACAGGCGCAGGAAGGGAGGCTCAGGCGCAGCCCGCTTTGGGAGCCAGAGCCCGGGTCTGGCTTTCATCAGAGCCCCTTGCAGAGCCCGGGCGGACGTCTGGCTCCCCGAGGGGTTTGGACATACACTCGCCCTCCGGCAGTCTCCCACCCGGATCTGCACCCCGCTTCCCAGTCTGCCCAGGGGACGGGCGGGGAGAGGCTCTCCTTCCGAGCCCCCTTACCTTTCTTCTTCTTCTCCTCCTCCTCTCCCTCGCTGGCCCCCAAGAGGGTAAAGATGATCCCAGTTTGGGAGTTGATACCCACGGCAGTCACCACCATCCGGCCAGAACCTTCCATGACGTGGGTCCCTGGATGAGAAAGGGGAAGAGGGAGGAGTGTTGTTTTTTACACCTAGCTGTGCTCTGGCGTAAAACACACAAGTCCTTCCTCCCCGTGGACAATGATACGCTCAGCAGACAGAAGGAAAAGGTCACGAGCTGGGACCATTTAAAACAGAGCAAGTAAAGCGGGGGTAACGAGATAAGGGTGCCAACTGCTTTAGGGTAAGGCGCCTTCCACACCCCACCCCCCTTCCGGCGGAGCCCTTCCAAGGCTCCTACAGCACTTGCTTCGTTTAGGTTACACACATCCTTGTATTTAGCCCACCCGTATGCCACTGCCCCAGCTGAATCCCGGGGAAGGAGGTGGAGCACGGCCAGAAAAGAGAGCAGGGTCCGCATCGGGTCTCTATGGCCTGGCTGTGTGGGAGGCGGCAGAATGGGAACCACGATGGCAAAAGTCATACCTGAGAGCAACATGGGGTCTCTTTCCAAGGACTTCTTGACATGGTCTGATTCCCCAGTCAGAGAGCTCTCATCAATCTTTAGATCATTCCCCTGGATCAGGATCCCATCTGCAGGCAGCAGGTCACCTAGTGTTCAGAGGGGGAGGGCAACAGGGAGAGAGGGGAGGTAAGAGCCTGGCGGAGGGTGGGGACCACCCAACCCCATCTCAGACCCCCACACATACAGGCAATGGCCTAGGGAGTAGCCGCAGAGCTTTTGAAAGACAAAGTTAGCCCAGCTGGTGCTGCTCAGTGGTTGAGCATTGACCCATGAACCAAGAGGTCCCGGTTCAATTCCCAGTCAGGGCACATGCCCCAGTTGGGGGTTTGATCCCCAGTAGGGAGTATGCAGGAGGCAGCCAATCGATGTCTCTCATCGATATTTCTATCTCTCCATCCCTCTCCCTTCCTCTCTCTAAATCAATAAACTAAACAAAACCAAAAAAAGAAAGACAGACAACTTCAGCTCTGACAACCTGGGACAAGACTATTTCCCAGGTATTATAACTTCAACAATTACTGGTTCCCAAACACCTTCCCATGGCCCGAATATGATATTCTTTTAACCTGAAGACACAGTAAGTTGGACAATCTTTTGGGAGAGTTTCAGTTACTTCTTTCTTTGAATTTTGTTACACAACCTCTGGAGACTCTAGCCTAGGTCTAGACTAACACCATTTGGGGTCATGTATTTTTGGATCCTCAGCAATTCCTAGCCCCTTATGCCAAAGGACCTGGCCCTCAGCTAGGGCGTGGCATGGGTGAGAGAATCACGGAGCTCTCACCGTATTTGATTTGGGCAATATCGCCCACCACGATTTCAGCCACAGGGAGCTGGATGATGTGACCATTCCGAATAACAGAGAATTTCTGCTCCTTTTCAATGCGGTTCTGCAGCCCTCGGAACTGCTTCTCTTTGCTCCAGTCATTGAAGGCCGTCACTAGCACCACGATGATCACCGAGAATAGAATGGCCGCCCCCTCGATCCAGCCGGCTTCTGACTCCCCTTCGTCCTCTGGGCTATTTACAGGTAGACCACACTCTAGCCCAGGGAAAGGAGAGAAAGAAGGATCATCTAGGGGCTTTTGCTGACATTACGAATAGGGGCAGTGCTTCTGCAAGCGCCCAGCATGGGAGCTGGGGGAAGAGAATGGTAAGACTAAAGCCCTTGGGTAAAAGAGCTTCCCTCTAAGGTGACTGGGGGACAGCAGGGCTGGGCATCATCTCATCACCAAATCACTAGTTACGTTAACCCCAAAGAAGCAAGGGACTAAGCAGCACAAAACATGTCAATGCAAATTACAGGCAGGTCACACGTAAAGAACGCGTGGTTCCCGCCACGGTCAGGCTCCCACTGCTATGTCCCCAAGTGCCGGTAATATTGGTGGGGGCACTGTGAGAAGCAGGGTTGTGTTGGTTGGGTGAGGGTAGAGGGTTCGTGACATTCTAAATAAGGGTTTCATTGGGAGAAGGGGAAAGGATCCTGGGATCAGCCTGGACTGGAAGAACAGCTCATTAGCTGCTTGTTGGTTTCCTTTGGAGAACCCGTCCCGAGCAGGGGGAAACCGTGTAAGTATAATGTCAGCCACCAGCACTAGGTGCTGCTTGGTGGTTGTGGAAAGAACCAGACCGGAGTCTTGCTGGGCGTTACTCACGTTCATTTTCTTCACCAGGGGGGCGGTAGAAGGACAGAACCAGGGAGATGATGGCTGCGATCTCCAGGATGATGAGTGTGACATCTTGAAGGGCTTCCCACACTAATTCTAAGAAGGTCTTGGGCTTTTTGGGAGGGATTAAGTTCTGTCCAAACACTTGTTTACGTTTTTCCAGATCTGCCGGGTTCCCAGAGAGACCTGAAAAGGAGATAGAAATGGGATGAATGAGTGAGAAAAACCCGGGACAGATGAACGACAGAGGAAAGCAGTGAAGAGACCCCTTTAATAAAAAGGCCCCTTGCATCCTGATCTGCCCAAGTATGAGATCCAGTTAGGGTGGCCAACCACCCCAATTAGCCCAGGACTCAGGGGGTGTGAAATTTTCAGTCGAAAAATGGGCAAACTAAGACAAGTTGGTCACAGGGGCCGCTTGCTCCCTTAGTCTCCAGGGTAAGCTAGCCCAGAACTAAAACTTCGTCTCCTCCTCACTGATTATGTGCCAGGCCCCAGCTCTAAGAACACAACACTAAAATGTTTCCTGGGACTCACACAGTACTTCTCTCTCACGCTGACATGTAAATGCTGGTGATGATTTAAAAACCGAGTTTGCTTCCACCCACTGGCTCACACAGCAAGGCCAGAAAGAATGAACTATCTGCTCAAGGTCATGCTAGGAGGCCAGGAGACACAGCCCCAGCAGCTGTCCTGACTCCACGTTTCAGTGGCTTTAGGAGATCAACAGAAAGGAGGCTCTGAGACTCCAACTTTGGGCGTCCCCTTTGAATACACATGCCCTTCAGTTTCTGTCACACACACATAGAAACAAAAACATACACCACTGAAAGGTACTACTCTTCTATTAGATACTATATATTTAGACTAAGTACTAGGTGCTGAGAGAAGCACTGCTATTCAGGTTGACTAAAAAGGGAATAAAAAAAGCCAGAGCCACAAACTCAGAGTACGCGTCCTTGATTACCAGCATACTCCCGCTAACGCTCGTATGTTTGCACACCTGCCGGTGTGCACACGTGCTCTAGGCATGTTCCCAGAGAGGAAACAGTTATTCCCAGTGCTTTCCTTAAAGTTATGATTTTCTGCTGGGCCTCAGGGTTTACACTTTGAGGGAAGTGGGGAAATCCTAAAATTTCCATTACTGCCAATTGGCTTTTTTCAAGTTGTTTACACACAACAGCAAGTTAGCCCCTTCTTGGCATTTGAAGTTACTGTCTGCACAGCTGGATGGGTCCCCCACAGGCAGGGTGGGGCAACCTCTGTCACGAAAAAAGGTCAGCAGATGAGGAGGGTTAGAATCAGAGAAGGGAGCACAAAGAGGGCAAAGAAAAGCAGATGATGGGAAGCTGCAAGGAGAAAATGGAAAATGGAGACACTGATGCCAGAGGACTTCTTTAGACTTTAGTCAACAAGCGGGGTATTCCACTGACGGGGGTGGGAGCGTAGCATGAGGGCAAATATCTACTCTCCATTTCCACTGGACCCAGGAGTGTTATCTTAAATACCAAGAGGAAAGATGTGGGTCAGATTTAAGGAAGACTTCCAGACAAAAAAAGATTTTGAAAAGGGAATATTGTTTACAGGGTCTGAGACAGCCTCCACTTCTCTATCCTAAAAACAAAACCACCGGGAGAGGTACATGAAACACTCATCTGTCTGGGAAGGTAGATTTGGGACCCTGACTGGGACGTAGAGCGGGGAGTGAACTGGCGTCCACACTTGGGGAGTCTGGAATTGGAGAACACTCCCCTTGCTAGTGTTTAGGAGAGGAAAAAGGGAGCTGGTGACCGATGTTCACAGCCCAGCTTCCTGCCTCCTAGTGCCCAACTGCACCTCCCTGGCCTCCAGTTGTGTGGCCCTGCTGAGCTCTGCAGGGGAGTGGGGTTTGGCAAAAGCATCAGAAGCAAGTAGGGCTGCTTTCCAGAGGCTCCTGCCTCCACCACTCTGAGAAGTCAGGTTCCCAGCAGGAAAGGAAAGCAAGGGCATGGGAAAAGTGTTCCTGGGCAAGGCATCTTGATCCCCAGGCAGGCAGAGGCAGGGCCTTGCTGGTTCCTTCTCCCTGGGGACCCTAGAAAGTAAGGCTGTGCCAAGTTGGGGACTGCTGTGCTGGGGGGCCAGGCTTGCTTGAGGGAATAGGAGCTCTGATCTTTGCCAGTCTACTTGTAAGTTTCTCAAGGAAGCAGGATTCACAATGTACAGAGGCGGTCGTCCCCTCCTGAACAAGGGTGAGGACATGACTGTGAAGGCAAACCATGACATCAGACATCAGAGGTCATCATAAGGAACATCACAACAGCTTAATGAAGGCTCGACAACAACCACAACCACCATCACGACAGCAACCACTACAACAGTTTAGCAAAAAGCACCCCATCTGAGGTAGCCCTGCTCTGTTCTCTGTTCTCACATTAATACCTTGCAAACATCCTTGACTCCTTTCTCTCTCTCATCCACTATATCCTGTCAGCTTTACCTTCAAAATATACCCCAGGTCCACTCAGTTCTCCACGGCTGCCATCCTGGTCTAAGCCATCATCATCTCTTGCCTGGATTATTACAAGTCTTGCAACTGGTCTCCTTGCTTCCCCCTTGCTTTCCTGCTCTCAGTCTCTTCGACAGAGTAGCCAGAACAATATTCTTCAAACCCAGTTCATGATGCTCATCTACTCAGAATCCTCTGGTGGCTTTTACTTGGAGTGAAACTGGGCACTGAAGACCATATGGTGGCCAATAAGGCCCCCTAGGAGCTCTCAGCCCCCACTCCTTAACTCCTACCATTTTCCCCTTGGCCACAGAGATCCCAGCCCAGCTAGCCTTCCTATCAGCCTCGGAATGCACTAGACACGCTTCTTTTTCGGGGCCCCCATTTTCTTTGCTCAGGTAGGGTTCATTCTCTCACCTGCGTCAGGTCTTTGTACCAATGACACCTTCTTCGGGAGGCCTACTTTGACGGTTGTATTTGACATTATGACTTCTCTGCCCAGCACTCCCGTCCCCCTTACCCGGCTCAAGTGTTCCCTCTAAGGGCCTTCTCCCTTAATATATGACAGACTGTATTCCTTTATTGTTTGTCTAGCCCCCTCCACAAGGGCAGAATTTTGTCTTTGTTCCTTAGATCTATAGCAGTGCCTGGCACATGGTATGCATACAAACTTGTCAAATGAGCTGAATGAGTAATGGATACGTTTGCTAACATCTAAGTGATTGCTGTGTCACACGCTTCACTAGGTACACTGGTGTCTTCTCATGCAAACACAAACCCCATTCGGTAGCTACTATTAACCCCATTTTACATATAAGCAAACTAAGGCCTGGAGAGGTTATGTAACTACTCAGTTTAGTATATAACAGAGGCTCTACCACTGCCCAGGAAGCAACTGGGTGCCAACCTGTACAGAGGGACTGGGGTGTAGAGGCACCTGCACTCGGCTGGGGCTTCCTCCTAGTGCCACTAACTTGTCTTGGTTTGCCTGGGACTTTCCGGGTTTTGGGAATGAAGCCCCCGCCTCCTGAGAACACCCCGAGAACGCCCCCTCAGCCCCAGGCAAGCAGGAAGGGTTGGTCACCTTACTCTGTTCGCCGTAGGGCAGCCCCACTTGCTGCTTTCCTCTGTGCCTCTAAGCAGATCAGCCCTGGTCCCACTGCTACAATTGGGGTGAATCAGTTCTAGCCTCAGGGATGGTGACACCAGATTTGTCAGAGTCCAACCCATACATTTTGTATTCAATTATTCAATAAAAGGTTCATTCTGGCCATTTTTGGATCCAAGCAAATGAAACGACACAGTATGGAAAACAAAAAAGGTCAGGCCTGCTCTTACCTAGATGCCTTCAAAGTCACACACTTACTTCCTTTTTGCCATTTTCTCTCACCCACCTTAAGTCACTCTAACCTCCTCAATAGCTACCTTAAGAAGCCCTGTGGCTGTCCCAGTTCCCCGCATGCCCTGAGGCAGGGAGGGGCAGGTTGGGCTGTTAGCATAGTAGCCTAGGGAACCCTCCCTCAGGCATGTGGCATGGCACGAAAGCCATGTGGGGCTATCCATTCCAATTCCCCTACCCCCGGAGGCCTGTGGGCCCTAATGCCAGCAGCTGTAATCGCATATTCATACTTGTCCAGCCCAGGAAGGGGGTTTAGTCCTTGATCTCTGCACTTGCTTCTCAAATACACAGCTTATTGGAGTGGGAAGGAAGGCTCGGCAGGGAGAAAATGCTGGAAACATAGGAAAAGGGTTTCCCTTAAAACACATCAAGAAAAGAGAGGAAACCTTGTCGACAGAACATGGGAAAGTTCCACCCAAGCAGTGCTTCTGGCCCTAAGAACCAGACTGAACACATGAGCTGGGAGAGGCGACAGGAATGTCAGGCTGTGAAATCATCGCCCCCACTCCACGCTGGGGAGTGACCCTGCCCCTGCCCAGGCTGGCGGGAGATGGAAAATCTGTGTGTGCTGTGAGCCTGTGCTGGGACCTGGGGCTAGGGAGGAGCTGCAGCCCAGCCCTCAGTGGCCTGGCTCCAGAAGATGAGGGCCAGGGAGGCTGAGGCCAGGGCCAGCCTCCCTCAGAAGCCAGGACTTTCCACAGAGGCACCCTTATCAGAACCAGCTCAGCCCCAGAAAGGGTGTGGCTAGGCTGGGCCTCACGAGGGACTTCCCAGCTGTCTGAGTTATGACACCTTGCCAAAGAGACAGCCGAATCTTCTCCCACACAGACAGTAAGGGAGAGGTTTCTCTGGGTTGATCTGAAGGCAGTCTTCGCTGGTTTATGAGAACAGACATCAGATACCTTTCAAGTCCTACCTTAGAAACCCTGGATAGGGAGGAGCTTTAGCCAGCTCCTGCTGCTAACCAAAATAGTTTCCACACTTCAGCTTCTCCAGTTTAACACACCCACAGCGTGGGAGGTGCTCTCTGTCTGCTGGACTCCCAGCCCCAAGAGATAAAGCAATCCCGTCCAGTGGATAGCAAAAGGATGGCGACTTCTAGAAGACTGCCCCTCTCCTCAGTCCAGTCCAAAACACCCCGAGCAGCAGGCACTTCCTCAGGGAACATGCCCCATCTGGCCCTCTGCTGTGTCTCTGTTTCAACACCCCAACCCTGTCAGGGAGAAGAGCAAGTTCCCCAAGGGCCCTCCTCAGCCCTCTACTCGCCGCTTCCTCCCATGCAGTGTGCCTGTGTTTCCATCC